TTCAGGATCACGGGAAGCTCACTCACGAAGACACGTCTTCACTCTTCAAACTCTGGCGGGACACTGACTCGGGCTAGGCCAAGCCAAGCGTTCGGTGGATGCATTATTCTCCTTCCCCAATATGAATGGACCAATAGGGGAGCAACACGCAGTGCGTAGGGGAGGGTCGCGGCGGTGCAACGATGTACGCGGACGCGCTGCAGTACTCTTGCGCTGAGCTAGCCTCGCAAGGGCCTCACACCACCCCCCCCCCTTCCTTCCAAGGGAAAGTTATACAATACAAAAAGGTGCGATTCATATTGGAGGTAGAGTGTTTCAGCTTGCCGTGATCCTTTGACCGATATATGTGTACAAACAATTGGTTCAGCAATACATAACTTAAGGATAAGTACAGTTCAGTCTTCGTTCAGTCATTAAGTTGCTGAAGTAATGAGATACAATTTGTTAAAAGTTTACAATGATACAAACATTGAAAGGAGTGATTACATTGTTAAAGAGAAATACAAGAATAACGGTAGTAGCAAAATAATAGTCTGATAAAATACAATTATTACAAAAATGACAAAGTAGCAAAATATGGAATAAGTTTATCGAAGATAAAGTTTGGAAAATACAAGAAATGTAATATTTAATTGAGTATGAAGACATTGAACATATCTGAGATGTACGAATAATAAGAGTTCAATAAAAGTCAGTGCCATTAAAGGACCTGATCAAGTACAAGATGAGTGGTTAATTACTTACACGCTAAGTCCTAAAAGAAAGGGTGATGATTGTAATGAGAAAGAAACAAAGGGGATACAAAAAATAATACAAATAGAAGAAACATTGAAAAGGGAGAGAAAATTTTGTTACAATGACAAAACTTGCGAGAAATGGGGATACAAAGGCAGAGAAAAATTTGTTACGATGACAAAATTTTGTGAAGAAAGGGGTATAAGGTAAATTTAAAGGTAAGAAATGATGGTTCAAATTAATACATAATTTTAAGACACACATGAAAAAATGACAAAAATGAAGCTAAATGCGATTTTGGTGATATAATGATGAGAAAGAACAATTTTAACATTAGTTAGAAGAAAATACTAATAGTGATGATTACATAGTTACGATTACAAAGTATGCAAAATGAAATTTTAGTAAGAAAATTGAAAACTAATATATAAGAAGATGATGAGTACAAAAGGACATACAAGAGTTTTGTTTTGTATGCAAATAGAAAGAAAACTTGAGAAACAAAGTAACTTGCAATAAAATCTACAGTAAAAATGATTAGTTTCGATAAAAGTACATGCTAAGAACACCTGAAAATAAAAACATATGAAACTGGAAACATTTAAAAACAGTTGATTTCATAATCTTGATAAGTTATTCTTAAAAGTGAATTGTTTCTGCGCCTCTCCTCAGAGTTTAGTGACAGTATTAACTTCGTCGGTTGCGGTTTAAGCTACGCATCGGATGGGCATCTGTTTTATGGACAGAGCTAAGGGAACACAGAAAAAAGGGGTAAAAATACCAGTTTGTCCAAACATTTTGATACTGACCAAAGTACTGAGGCTGTGGTGATGTAGGGCTCCTAGAGCGGCACACATTGAAAGGTGTCTTTGGAGTCTTGGGGGCTTGCTGTTGTTTCACCTGTCACTTTTGCCAGATCAGGTGACAGGTGATTTGGTGTTCGCAGTGTCACAAAGTGACTGATTTCCGGTGCGGGGAGCACAGAGTACTCGCGATGAGGGTACGTCCACTCAAACCATAAGCTGTCCGAGAAAAGATACTCAGGACCTGGTGGGGCTTGGTTTGGAGGTGACAAGTCACGCCCGTGACAAAGGTGCGAGGAAGTTGGTGCGAGTGCAGCGTGCATAGGCTACGCGTGCTGCCGCACAACATCGGTGTCGGAGCTGATGATAAGTTGACGTTGACAACCAGTTCAGTACAGAATGCATTTGTTTTATGGACTGGTAGTAATGAGAAATGACAACGCATTCGATTAATGATTTTGAAGAACTTAATTTGACGTAAATAATGGACGAATATGCTAATTTTCGTTGTCACAAACCGATAAACCGAGAGGAGGGCAGTAAGTTGGTACTTTACTGTTTAAAAGACTGGCCTACGAGGGGCTGAGAAAAAAAAAATGAACATCATCAGTTTCATAAGTTTCATCGAGTGACTAAAGGTGACGGACGTCTTTTGTAACGATAGTCCGAAGAACAAGTAAAACATTATGTTACGTGAATTCAAACTTATACTATATCTTAACTACATAATGACACCTTTGAGACAAAAGGAAGTACGACATGAAATATTAAATACGATTGCGGTAAACAATTTCAGTTTTACCCTTTATAATCAGAAAAAAAAAGCATACACAAGTGCTACAATCAGGCATTGTAAGGGCCTTTTCACGAATCTCACTTAATCTAAGTGCTAAAGTGCAAGTCTTTCTTGCGCAAAGGAGATCAAAACATACAACAATATGTTCCATACGAATCTGGTAAACAGAATTCTTTTTTCCGTCTGTAAAGTCAGAAAGACAAAATCGTGAACGAGATCGAGATTGAAATCTCATACTCGATTATTTGCTTACGTTGAGTT